TAGGCCAGAGGCCCTTGGAGGCCCTTGGAGGCCCTTGACATTTGATTGGGAGTCTGCACTACAAAAGTACACTGAGATGATGAAGGCTTAAAGACAGGTCTCTCATTTTTTATCTCATCTCCAGGCCTCTTTGTTGAGGGGCAGTGGGTGAAAATCCTGCTTTTAATCATTTCAGTTAATATTATCGTGCACTTTGAAACTGGTGGGCTTGTGAGGCTCTGTGTGACACTTTTCATAATGGATTCTTGAATGCGGCAGGATCTGGGGGTTCAACAGGGGCCCACAGCTCAAATTTGTCCCTGGGCCCCTGTAGCAGCTGTTCTAAGATGATGATTTGTTGTTGATTTTATGTGTGTAGAAAAATACCTTTCTTTTCACACTCTTATTATGTATGCATTGTAGTTAAAGCAAGTAGGTATTGAAAGGCTTGGTTTTCCGAGGGCAGTTCTTCAGAGTAAATATGACCAATGAAGGATTGAAGGTGTTTCAAATATGGTGTTTAAAGGCATTCAAGTCAAGCACATTGAGCAGAATTTCAAATATGAAATGTCGTATGTATACAGTATAGTATATATACATATATATATATATATATATATATATATATATATATATAATATATATATATATATATATATATATGTCGTGTGTGTTGACATTAGATTTGTTAGTTCTGTCATTGCTTTTGAATCCCTTCTTAAAACACAAAAAATGCCTTCATCTTTGTGCATTTTTTTATTTTATAATTGTTTTATTGTTTTATTGTTGATTCATTCTTGACACACACATTTTTGAAATACTTTGTAACTTTTTTTAAGAAAAGTGCAATTCAGATATAAGCTCATTATAATTATTACTATCACTATTAATTATTATTATCATTTGTGTAATTATGTTTTCTATATTCTTGCTAATATAGCTGTCGGTTAGAATAGAAGCACGGAAAAGCAGCAAGAAAGATTATGTGACACGGTCATAGAAGCAAATAAGCATCTTTATTAGAACAAAAACGCAATTTTGGCAAAGACTATAATTATGCTATGATTATAACAGAGAGTGAGGGGGCAAAAACTGGAAAAATGCACTGATGAGGTCAATGACCTCTCAAGGTCACCAGAGGTCAAATATATAATGCTCCACGTCTGAAATAAAACCTTGGGGTATGTAGATTATATGCTAAAACTTTCATGTTTTAGTCAAAACATGCACAATTGGTTTGCCTGTCTGCCCAACTAATGTATACTGTTTATATAAAGCTTGACTTGTTGAGTTAAATGTCTTTAAACCCTGAAACCTGAAAATACTTTGTTGTCCTTTTGGCTTCCTCTCAAAGACCAACAACTGCTCCTGTTGTCCCCTCCACAGGACTACTCACACAAGATACTGAACCTCCTTCCTGTTGCCTTTCCTTCCTGCACACACACACACACACACACACACACACACACACACACACACACCATACTGCTGTAATTATCACTCAGTGAGACAACCACTCTCTAACAGCTACACCTTGCTGACACGCGACATTCAGGAGAGGACACTCTCAGCGTTATCACTGAACTCCTCTGCTGGAGAACAGCTGACAGGACGCTCACACCAGCCAAATCCAAATCCAAATATTTAAGCATCAGTCAGGTAAACAGGTTGCGAGCCTTCCCTCGTCCGACCCGTGATTAAGAGAGCATCGGGCGGGGGGGGGGGGGGTTTGGTTCAGTAGCTGGGCTGACAGAGTCCCCTGATAAGGATGTATAAACAGCTCCACCTTACAGTGGCTACAGAGAGAAGTTGCCCCTCGGAAACGGCAGATTTCCACTAGGGCCAGGGTGCATGAATATTTTATTAGGGTAAATAATTAATAATTAACAGCAAACAGGCCAGTGATCAAATGGAGCAGCGTGGCAACAGACATGAAAAATCAGACTCTTGTAAACAAAGACGAGAGGACCCAGATTTCCTCCCCTCTCGCCACCTTCTCTTCTCGCCTTTTAAATATGCGCATCCTCAGTCGCCCCCCCGCGTCGCCGTAAAACCACACACACACAAATACAGGCACATGTAGGAACACACACAAACTCCATATCAGCGACTCCGTCAAACTCACACAAAGTGCTGCCATAACCCCCTCCGTCACTCACTCACATTCATACCCACACTTATTTTCCGTCACAAGAATGAAATTTTCATGTATTCCTTGGCGACCCGGGGAATGTGACTGAGCGAGAACACTTGATCTGGCCACCCGCTGTTTTCTGATGGAAAGATTTGCTTTTTAATACAATCGTCACTCCTCCCACCTGGATATGCCACACCAAGACAAATCCCAGCTGTGTGACTCCAAAACCTGACAGAGCTTAAAAATTCCCTTATTACCATTCCCTTAAAATACCCAGCCACACTAACTCCCAACAATGGAGGAAATGCTAATCACGTCTCTCGGCGGCTTAGAGGAGCATGAAAACAGAGCCACCAATATGGAGGCTTTGGTGCATGTACAAAAAGTAAGGAAGAAGAAGAAAGAAAGAAAGAAAGAAGAAGAAGTCCCAGCTTTAATGACACACATTCACAGAAGCGTCATGGCTCTTAAAAGCTGCTTCTCCAAAATCTGGCACATCTTGCCGCTTGACTTTAGCCAGAGGAGACATTTCATAAAAATCAGACTTAATCGTGTAAACAACACGCAGACAAACAGAAAACCACTGCAAACAAAAATAAAACAACTTTGGAAGCTGTGTACGGATCGCCTTCAGAGTTAATTTTAAAATAAGCATCCCGTTCCTTGGAGATTTTAATTAATGCTTTAATATGCAAATAAGTTAGCAGAGATAAAATCATGACAAACAGATGGCAAGTGTGGGTAATTATTTTGTGAATCCAGCAGGGGCATGTATTAAAGTTATGGCATCATTTTCCTCAGGCCTCTGCAGCCATGGAAGGTGGAGAGAGAGAAAAAATACACACTGATGAACTGAGACACAAATGACTGACTGGTGTCTCCAAGTCTGTGACCACACTGAGTCTAAATATGTCACAAAAGACGAGATGTTACAGAGGGATAATGATCAAGTCACCAGTGTCCCTTAATTCAAAATTAGAGGGAAAATGTACATGAAAGCACCAACAGTCATTTGAATGAACTACAGACCTGAAACGCAAAGTGCATTTGACTGTGACAACATCACTAGTAGCCTGTACTATTTACAGCAGACAGGGCAGAGTTCATGAGAGCAGGTACTGTTTGTGTGTACTGACACATGCCCATGTAGTAGCTGCTATCCAGTTTGCATATAATCAGATTTTCAGATGCCTATTTTTATGAGCACTTCCAACAATTTCTTGTCCATTTTGGCTTCAAAGGAAATAGACGAGAAATCCTTCAACCCAAGCAAGTGGCTCTGTGAGACTACACCAAAGCATACTGGTGTGGAGCTATTTGTGAGTTTTGCTATTGTTATATCGCCAGCTTTAGCATCAAGAGCCGTTTACTTAACACCAGTCTAGAAGAAACGTTGACACAAGTTCAGCATCAAGCTTCATTCCCTAATTCGCCAAGAGTTGTCTCTAGTGGTGGAAAGCAACCCCATCGCTTCTTTTTGTCTATTGAAGACAGCATGCTAACCAGCTAGCCTTGTTTCGTCTATTCTAACCTCTTGTAAACGCAACAATCACTGCTGAGCTTGGCAAGTGACTTTATCAACACCGCCACCCGCTCCCAGCAAGAAACCACACTCAGCGGCAGAGAACACATACAAATAGCACCATTGGGCTGAATGCTAGCATCGCAATGCTAACTTGCTCACAAAGGTAATGCTAACATGCTAATAGCCTATTAAGCAGGCATAATATTAACCATATTCTCCATCTTGGTTTAGCGTGTTTGCATGCTAACGTTAGCTAAAACCAAAAGAGAGATTCTGGCTTTGTTGAAATCACTCACTACTTCCAGTGTAGTCCACTATGTGTGAATGTATAGTGAGAATTATTAGATGAGAAGAGAAGGATATATAAATGTTTCAAACCCCTGAACTGTTGTTTTTACATCTGTTGGGGAGGGGGGGGGGGTCCAAGTCTTAATCAGTGGGGTCAGATTCCCCCAATCCCCACCATAATTCGAATCCTGATCATACATTGCGATTGCGCTGGAAGAAAGAAAAATGGCCCAGACTTGAGTAGTGAAAGCTCACTATATAGTGACAAAGGGAGTGATTTCAGACACAACCAGTGTCATTCATTCTGCAGGTCATAAACCAAAGTACTGGACAAATTTAATTTGTAAATGCTGAAGTTATCACCATTGTTATTAGGATTCATCTGTTGAGGCTCATGAACGTCTGATCCAAATTTCATGGCAGTCCATCAGATCACTATCGAGCCATTTCAAAACCACAGAACACAGAACCTCATTGTTTTGGTAGATGAAAAGTCAACAGGATTCTACCTCGGTCTGCACCACATTTCATCCATCCAATAGTGTATGAGATATTTCAGTCACAGGCTAAAGTCTGATATAATGACTGATATCATTTAAAAGCACAACAGTTTGTAAATTTAAAATTAAAGAAATGTAACAAACATATGTATTTAATGGGGCTTTTTGCACTTGAAAAATAAACTCATCAGTGTTCTGTGGTAGATAACAATGTATGAAAAAATTTCTATATAAAAAATATTTCAAGCATGTTTCTTGTTATTTATCACCCAACTTATATCTGTGATAAGCTGAAATCAGCTGATGATATCAGTCACACTGATGTTATCCATCAGGCTCTGGCTGCTTATCGCTGTCGTGTTGAAGCACTCTACTTTTTTCTTTATCAATAGTCTTGGTAAAGTCTAAAAGCGACTGTAGAAAATCTTCAAACCCAAAACCACATTCAACGTCAGCACCATGTAAAGTCCAGTGAAACATCATATAAAGACCATGATTCAGCAGAAGAGCCAATGTCCTGAAGACCAAACAAAAGAATGAGACCTGTAACTATGACAATAACTGCACCCACCTGCTCCTGTGGCAGTGCAAGGTCCAAATCCAGACTAGCAAGAGAGCAGTTGATCCTCAGGGCCAGACACAGGGCCATCAGGCCCCCGACCTTCACTTCGTTCTGACGGAGGTCCAGACGCTGAATCTGATGGCTCTCAGCGAGGAACTCAGCCAATGCCACAGCACCTTCACCCGAGAAAACACACGTCAGAAGGTCAGAGGGTGTAGCTGCAAGGCTAGTTTCATTTTGGCAAACTACTCTCAGTAACCTACTTAGTCTAGATTGCATATTTCTATAAAAAAAAAAACCCATAGGTTCATCTGTGCAGCAAGTTATTATGACCCAAAGTTAAGTTTTGTTGCTAGGCAACATCTAGTGGTCATACTAATTAAACTGGTCAGGAGCAAAGGGAAAAGTGCAGTGACATAGTATAAAGAGAGACAAAGGTGTTTATATTGTAACCATGACAACAAAGACTGTCTAATGTTAAGGAAGTACTTACTTTAACCCAAAATCACAATTTTTTCCTAAACCTAACCAAGACATGACCGTTATCATAGTAACCATGGTGACAAAGGTAGGTGCGCTGCTATCAGCACACACAACGTGTTTATTATTGTAACCATGCCAACCAACTGTTTTAGGAGACACTGCTATCAGAGGGTTGATGGTTGTTCAGGTTGGAGTTGAGTTGATTCTTTACTAAACTAGACTTTGTAAAAATTCATTTACCCGCTGAACTCTTTCACTGTTCTTTGGTTTAAAGACCCTGATGACAAAATCTGTAGTTTGGCATGAAGATTTTATGTCCAGAATAACTCTGCCTCTGAGAAATGCTTCTAGAAATAAAATTCAAATCTTCTTTGCTGCTGGAAATGAGCTGGTTCCCGGTGAGTTAAACATCACATGAGTCATTATAAGATACAGTATGTGTGAAAAGCTTCTGCAGTACTAATGACACCTAAATATCAATTGGCTGAAGATGGTTTTAAATGTCACTGATTCAAAAGGGGAAAATCACCAGTTTAAAAACACAAAATTTGACTATTTGTAGTTGATACAATTAGTTAAATTAGTTATAATAGTTATAATAATAAATTTATTGTTGGTAATTTTTCAAGCATATTCCAACTAAATCATCAACTCAACAATTTTTGTGTTTTATTCGTCTTCTATAGTTTTAAACTGAAAATCTTTGGACAAAACAAGCCATATAAAAATGTCAGCTTGGTGTCTTGTGCATTTTCACAATATTTAGACATTTTTTAGACCAAGAAGAAAGCAAAAAAAAAACAAGAAGATAATCTGCAGATTGTTCAGTGATTACAAGGATTGTAAATTGTGGCTCCATGTCTGCTCTGACTGCACAGACATTCAAGTGCTTAATGTGAAATCAAACATGTGTTAAAATTTTTGTTTAAATTTGTTTTGCAAACAAATTTTAACAAAAATTTGAAATTTAAATGTACCACAGCACTATTACAGTAGTTTGCTAATTTGGTCACAACTTGATTTTGAATATTTTACCAAATTCAATATTAAACATGAAAAATGACAGTACAATATATTAAATGTAATTATATATCATATTAAAATTATATTAAAAAATAACAACAAAACATATTGAATTTTAATGGGCCTCATCTTGATGAAATGATCCAATACTTTTAATGGATCGTTGTACCTTCACAGGTGATACTGGCCTGGGCCAGGCCGAGCTGCAGCACTGAGCAGTTCACCATCAGAGGCATCCTGATCACCTGGATCCCCTCGTTCCCCAGGAAGTTCTCGCCCAAATCCAGGACCTGCAGGACCTTCAGCACGGGCTGCAAAACAGGGATCTTGAGGTCACATTGATTCTTGTCAGCTCTTACCTGGGACCAGATGCTGTTCAGACCAGGTCCAGGGAAACACTGAAGAATTAAAAGTTTGTCAGTCTAAGTGAGTTTAAATGAATCCTCTGTGTGTGCTGTGCTACTTTCAGCGGCTGAGAAGTTTTAATTATCATTATTATTATTATTATGCGGTGATTATTATTCCTTTTCAAAAATGTTTCCTCTCATGTTAAAAGCTCAGAACTTCTGTTTCCACTCTCCAGAGCCACATTAGCATTGAAGGTTGATTAGCTGGTGCATAAAGCTGGGGGTGTCTGGGGCACAGGGGGCCTATGTTGCCCAACAGCTTGAAGAGGAACGTGCCACCCACTCCTTGGTTGCCCCCTCGCCTCGCCACCCTTGTTAAACTCCTCTGGTCACTGCTCTGAAGAGAGAGAGAGCATGGGGGCGGAAAGGAAGCCAGGAAGGCAACCGACAGACCCAGAGAGCGTCTTCTTCTGAGTTAATTTGCACCGTGGTGACAACAAACACACTTGAGAGGGCCCCCCCCCCCCCTCCTCCTTTTTTCCTCGCCGAGTCGCAGCACACAGAAGCACCGGCACATCCAACGCGTGGCGAGAAGCTTTCTCTGGCGAAGAGGGGAGGAGGAGGAGGAGGAGGAGGAGGAGGAGGAGAGGGAGGAAGAGCTCCTCGAATGGCTATGCACGAGGGATAATAGCAGACAATTAAAGAGGCGACTGCGTGGTTGAGAGTGTGTGAGAGTCAAGCATGGTTGAAGCCTGTCAAACGTAAACCACGGGAGGGTTGGAGTGAGAAGTTTGAGGGGGGTAGGAGTGTGAAACCACCAAACACACAGTATGCTTTCACACATGACATGCTGGCTTTAAACAAAAAAAAAAACCAAAAAAAAAAACAGCAGAAACACGCAAAGTGACAAAAAAAAAAAAAAAACAGAGCCCTGCTTAACATACCTCACCTCACCTCTCAATCATCATTTTCTAAATTATTTTGAACAAGGAGTAAATTTAGATGTCATCAGCCAAATTCGAGAAATCAGAGTCAAGTGGATTTTGGCCCAGATCTGCCCCCCCCCCCCATCTTAGTCCTTCAAAAGACAAACCAGGAGGACGGAGAAGAGAAGCAGATACACCAAGCAGAAAGGTTAATAACAGCTCTCCTCGTCATCATATTCGACACGACCAGCTACGGCTCTAATTATCATCATTATGGCCTGCAAGGACATCTACTTATCCCCGTGACTGGCAGGCCGCATGAGCAGCCCTCCTTAACACACATCTATTATTTAATCAAACTGTTCCTTCTTTTGGTAGCACTGGAGGAGACGAGCGAAGTGTGTGTGTGTGTGTGTGTGTGTGTGTGTGTGTGTGAGCGTACGAGGCAGGCCTTTAATTTCTAGCCTTTTGACTTCCACAATCGCCACTCACATGACAGGAAGGTGCAGTTTATGCTGCCAATCAGGTGGAAGGAATGCATGTTATTAGGAGTGTACGATGAAACGTGTGGAGGCGGGACGTTGTTCAGAGAAGGGAACTCTCTGGTTGAGGACCAACGCTCCTCATCTCCTAAATACCACATAGAGGAAAACAGGTATCAGAGCTGCTCCGCTCACGTCATGGTCAGAAATAGACTCAAAGTAGGTATGTTCAAGTCTTTAGTCTTTCTGTTTGTAGGATGGCGTGTTGTTCCTGAGCTGCGGTGGAGGGACAGAGACGCAAAAGCTGTGTTTCAATTCAGGGGCCACACCTTCAAGGGCCGCGTCCTGTGTCCCTCCAGTTCACCAATCAAGCTGTACCTTCATACCTCTGCACACAGAATCAGACCCCAGGGCAGTTTAGAAGCAGTTCCAACACTTCATTTTAAGCATACAGAGGCCTGGATAGCTTTATCTATTGTAGACTAAACGTTCTGTTCTAACTTATAGTACAGTGTTTTATCCAACATTCCTTGCAATTGCATGGTCTTGAAGGTGTGACTCATGTTGCTGAATGTACCTACAAACATAAACATAGCTGTCTCCTGCTCCTCACCAGCGTCTTGGCCAGATGGACCATGCCTTCAGCAGTGATGTGGTTGTTCCTCAGCAGTAAGACCCTCAGACCTGCCGTCTGCCGCCTCAGACCATCACAGAGCTCCTCCAAACCTGGATTATTAAAAATAAATACATGGATTAAATTATGGTAATCAGCAGAACATGATCAATTTAACTGCTTGTCTCTGCTTGTGATTGTAAGCTAAATGGCTCTGACAGATGTTTAGTGGGAGTGTTGCTGCAGTCCTGCTTATGACTTCAGCTCCAGTAACTATGACGAGGGTTGCTATGTGCGTAACCTTTTCACATATGTGTATTAATTAGATAATAAACTGTGCAAGTTAGCATGCTGACAGTGTGACGACACCTCCCACTATATTTACCTATGAGGCTGCTCGCGGGCAAATGAGGTGGGTCATTCTTTAATAAAAACAATAAAAAACTGATCATGGGTCTGATCACTAATTATTAGTAACATTATGTGTCGCACTTGTGCAAACTTCTGCGGAGATTTGCTGCCTCTTGTTCACATAATGGGAATGATAAAAATTTAGGGATGCATGTCTTGACATAAAGTGCAACTTTTTGAGAAATACACTTATTTGCTTTAATGCACAGAGTGAGATATAGACATAGTAATAACATGTATCTCCCACTAAAACCCATTTCTGTTTGTGTTCAGATTACACACAGATTTAGATGTGTAGCTACATGGATTTTTTAACCAGGCTCGTTGTTTTGCTCTTGGAAAGAATATTTCCTAAACATTAACTTACCTGAACATAGTTTATCAATACTTCTGGCCAGGCCATAACAGTGGGGACAGCCCTATAATCTGGAATGTCCCTGACTGACTGACTGACTGACTGACTGACTGACTAACTGACCATATTTCTACCACTGGTCAGCTGAGCGCCTTGTCACTGAGTTGGAGTTTCTGGATCAAACAGGGGGTATTTACAGGGGGGTATTTACAGCAGCAGTGTTGCTTAATTAGAGCATTGTCTCTCGATTTAGAGACTTTTTTTCAAACAGACTGGGTATAAACCTGGTTCAGGTCTGGACTGTGAACCGGATGCCAACACCTCTTGTTACAGGTAGTCTACCAAGCTGCTCTGGTTTCCCTGCTGTTTGGGAACTGCAGGGAAGAGGAGGAGCACTTCCACTACACTGGGCCTCGCCTCCATTACAGCAAATACACTACTTTCATTACATGTATCATTACTAAAGGAGGCAGAGGAAGAACTAAACATAAGACACACAGCAGAGAGAGCAGGAGAGAGGGAGAGAGAGAGATGTTATCAGTAACTGCTAAAGAAGGTAGCAGATCTGAATAGCATGTACAACAACAACTGGAAATGAGACAATACACTTACTGCAGCACAGCAATAAAAGCTCTGTTAAGACATAAAGGTTTTCTGCCCACTGAAATGTTAGAGGGCTTTTGATTACAGTAGTCTTGAGTTTGTATTAATATGTAATCCAGTAACCTTAACAGATGGGAATGACTGAAAACAAGGTTTTGTACTAAAATACTGTTATGACCAACTCTTCATATCAAACAGAGGGAGTTAGACCTGCCTCTAATAAAAATCTGTAACGTTCTGGAGCTGAAGTAAATAAAGAATAAACTATTGTGGATCCAGGTGGAGGCTGTGCTCTGTGTGAGAGACTAAACAAGAAAGATAATCTATCTCTTCTAACTTTAATTTATGTTTAGGGATTTTGTCAGACATTATGGTTTTAAAATGAGGATTTGACCATAGGCGGTTCAGACATATAATAGGTTTTGACCTAGTCTTGTTTCCAAAATGTTGAACCATTCCCCCCAAATGCAATCAAACAGGACTTCAGTCTGTAGTATTTAGTTTATCTGCACAAACTGAGGACAGTGTCTGAATCAATGGTGTATGTTCTGTACCAAAGATGAAAATGTTACCAGAATCTGCCACAGCATTGTTGCTGAGCTCCAGAGTCTTTAAGGTGGTGTTGTAGCGTAGCAGGTCTCCCAGCTGCAGGGCGTCCTGGTAGCTGTTCAGCAGGTTGTTGGTGAGGTGGAGCTCTTGCAAAGCCCTGTTTGCCTTCAGTGCACCAACTACAGGCAGCAACAACAGACATCATCAGGAATATGTTATCACTCCCTTAAAGTACAAGTATTCTCCTCAAACTGTTGAATTAGTTTGAGTTTGGAAAGCAGCAAGCAGAAATGCTACCAAAAATGTTGCATGTTTTTTCATAGCTAAATCCACCTTGTCAGAGACTTTTCATTTAGAAATTCAAAGAAGATTCCAGTATTTTTTTATCCTTGATTTTCTTTTTGTAGCCACCTCCCTGATAGAAATTCAGTGAAAGACATCAGCAAGAAACACATTATATCCACTGACATATATACGTAGACACCGCATTGGCCACCGGATCCTACGTCAACATTGCTGCCAAATTGTACCGGGCAAGACTGGCCTGTTAAGAAACTCAAGTAAACAGAGGAGCTTCAGTTTTTCTGGTTAAAAAGCTTCAGCCTGCTGGACACCAGACTTTTAGTTTTACTCCATGTAGATCATAAAGCCATGAATATAAAAACAACTCACTGAAACAGAATGTTATAGAGCTTTTTATCCAGAAAAACTGTAGCTCCTCCATTTATTCATATCTGTTTACAGGGCAGTCTCGCCCGGTCCAATATGGCGGCGACATTGACACATCTCAGCAATGGGCTGAAGCGACCAATGCGGTGTCTATGTATATACTGTATGTCTATGATCATATCCCTATGCACCTAGTTTGACTTTAAGTTAAGGCTCAGCAACAGGCTTCTGAAATGACTCATGAAGAACTGAAGTTTATTTGCCCTGACTGCGTTTTGCAGAATTCCACACTGGTTATCATGAGCCACAGTCAGAATGGTCATAATCATGACAATAAGACCACATCCTTTCAAGTTTGTAACAGTGATTGATGAACTTTTATGATTTTAACAAGCAAGTTATTCTTGGTTGTAAGCTTCTTCCCCAGATACAGTTCTTTGTTGGGGATCAGGTCCCTGGGGAAGCACCAGCAGGTTTTACTGGTTGGTGAGGGCACCTGCAGGTAGGGGGGGTGGAGTCTGAGGGGATAATTTGAAGCTGTTAAGCACAACGGGTGAAGCTCAGAAACAGTCAGAGGACACACACACGGAAGTCCAAGAGAAAATCTGCTGTTCCAACTTGAGATGGAGAAGGTGGACCACACCCTGAACCCTCACGCAATTAAAACATACAGATATGAGATATGGTCCTCTAAGTTGAGGCCTCTGGATCGTAACTGTAGTCGTCTGATTGATGGCAAGTGAACTTGAGCATGAAACGACAGCACAGCAGGAATCGCCACCTCCTGAAATCACTGCAGTGAAGATCAAGTGGTACTCATTCAAACATGAAGGAGATGTGGCAGAGGTCAGAGCTGTGTCTCCTCAGACCTCACAAAACACCCGTCAAATTTCATGACCCTCTCTTACAGAGTGTCAGCGTGCACCTCCGTTTTTTCCTTCTTTTCATTTCTGAACGTCATTGCAGCTTTGAATGGTGCACTGCAGAGTTCTCTTGTGTTTTTCTGGGCATTCCCTGTGCATTTGTGTAATGTGTACTGTACTGTGGTACACGTGTGTCTGTGTTGCCTGGGCCCTCGCTGCCCTCGCATCCCGATCGATGCTGCAGATTTGATCAAGCCTGTTGGGCTGCATGTGGAATGCCAACATTGTCATTAGGCACAGTGGGGACCAAATGGTGGAATCGGTGGGATTGATCCGGTCGACTCCACCGCGAGCGCCCAATCCCGCAATCAGAGGCCCCTCCGATCGAAGGCAATGATCCTCAGCCGGGACCCCCTGTTGGGAGGGAAGGAGGGGTGGCCGCGGGCTCGGTGAAGGCAGAGAGAATAGGGTAGGGGTGGGATGAATGTGGGAGGAGGGAGGGTTGGGATGGGATGGGATGGGATGGGGGGGGGACTGTGTGAGACTCTAAAATATCAAACTGATCCAGGAAGTGGCTGTTGCTGTTGTGAAGAGTGGGCAGCATACTGCGTCCATTTGGGTCTTTTTCTGCTCCCAGCTGAGAGGACCCGAGAGGCTGAGATCAGCATGTGGATGTTTGTGTCCAAACAAAAAGTCAGATTGTTTCACTCTGACATCAGATCGTCTACCAGAGTTTATTATAGTTCATTCCATCTGATAATGAAAATTAATACACAGTGAGAAAATTGTGTGTGTGTGTGTGTGTGTGAGTGTGTATGTGTGTGTGTGTGTGTGTGTGTGTGCATGTGTGTGTTTGTGTCCATCCATATACAGCACTCAACCCCCCTCTGAGTGTTGCGTTCACCCGTGGTGAGTGAATTTATATGTGTGTATACTCAACCAGTAATTGTGTGCCTGTGTCTACATCCGATTCATTTGTGGGTTACATGACCCACCGATGCCCCTCTACCCCTCTACCCCTCTACCCCTCTACCCACACACCACGGTCACACACACTGCTCACAGATACAGCAGCAGCCATTCAGTGAAAGTCAGAGAGGACAGACCTCACTGACTGTTGGTGTTTTGTTTATTTCAAATGAGACTTTTAATAGTTAAATTAAGTGTTCATGTGCTTTAAATGTGTGTGTGTGTGTGTGTGTGTGTGTGTGTGTGTGTGTGTGTGTGAGAGTGTGTGTGTGTGTGTGTGTGTGTGTGTGTGTGTGTGTGTGTGTGTGTGTGAGAGAGTGTGTGTGTGTGTGTGTGTGTGTGTGTGTGTGTGTGTGTGTGTGTGTGTACAGATGATATTTGGATGTGTAAAAATATATAAATGTGCATATCTAAGGTCATATTTTGGCTCAAGAGACTATACATGAATCCAAAATGTGTGTGTGTGTGTGTGTTTGTGTGTGTGTGTGTGTGTGTGTGTGTGTGTGTGTGTGTGTGTGTGTGTGTGTGTCCCTGGCTGCCAGAACCTTTATAGATGTGTGCAGTGGTGTGTAAAGTGACAGGTAAGAGATTAGGCCTCTAATCCGGGTCCAGACCTGCAGAGAGGGTCACAGGTCAAAATCTGGTCCTGCTGGCCACAGGACACATGCACACACACACACACACACACACACACACACACACACACACACACACACACACACACACACACACAAATACACACACACATTTACACATGCTTGTACACACAGTCCACACTTACACATGAAGATAATTTAACAAACAAATAATATCTTGGTGGTCAGTGTTCAGCAGCTGAAGCTCAGGAGTGCTCAGTGTGTGTGTGTGTGTGTGTGTGTGTGTGTGTGTGTGTGTGTGTGTGTGTGTGTGTGTGTGTGTGTGCGTCATACCCAGTGTGTAAAGTGGCATGCCGCTGAGCTGGGCATTGTGAAGGTGCAGCACTGTGAGCCGGCTGGTCAGCAGAGCTTTAGATAGAGACAGGGCTGGGTAGTCGACCATGGGCACGTTACACACATCTAGCCTGGACAGACACACACTCTGGAACACAGTGTGCAGAAATACAATGAATACAGACAAAGACACAGTTGAAGACATGTCTAATCTGACCAAAAGGAGAGAAAGAAGAAGCGAGGGGGAAGGAAAAAAAAAGCTTCACCATATGCTGTCAAACACTCAGACCTGTCAGAAGAGGAGTGGAGAAGGTGGAGCTGCAGAGTTAGAATCTAACAGTGGACCAACCTGTCTGTCCACCCTCACATCAAACACTGAAGAAGAAACCAGGAAGAGGAAGAAAACGTGCCTGAGTGACGGGGCGGTCAGGTAGATGGGGCAGATATGGGGCATTGTGGGTCTGGGTTTGACATTAGATGTTAGGGATTTTGTTAGGTGTAGGATGATGCTGGATATTTGGGGGTGCAGAGGTAAACTAGATTCACCTCCTCATGGTCGTCTGCCTCCGCCACTCCTCCACTGTTTATCCAGAGCCATAAATATGAACCATTTGTGTGAAATTTTGTCATAATTGCTGGGAAGTCTTGAAAAATGGCTAAACAGTGTTTTGTGAGGTCACACTAACATTGACCTTTGACTTTTATCCTTTAGCCACCAAATTTCAATCAGTTCTTTCTTGAGTCAAAATATATACTCCATATAAATGTTATTTTTGGTGGTTTAGAGTATGTGCGTAGGAGAGAGCAATTAAATATCAATAATAGTTATAAGAGCTCGTAACTCAAATGAACTCAAATGCTGCAGGTTCACTTTTGGCGCAACATGAGATTTGATGCACTTTAACACAATGCTTGATTATTGTCCTACATGTGATTATATTCTATTCATCTGTTTTGGAAATAAAATTACTGCCTTGTGCTCTGTGGCAATTTTGTTTTATAATCCAATAATTGTGAGATCCTGATGTTTGGGTGTACAAAGCCAAGGACCTTTGACCCCAGAGACTGGGATTCACTTCCTGCCTCCTACTACATGTATATGTGTTGTTGGGTTTAGGCTTCCTTCAAGTCGGTGCTTACTCCCTCAGTATTTAACCAAGACCAACAAACCTTAACCCAGCACTCTGAGTGAGGAGCTTATATTGTGGGAAAACTAAAATAGGTGTGAATAGTTTCAGATGTGTTCAACTGAAATGTTTCTCACATTTTAAAACCAAGAAGCATCACATTTGGATAATGCAGATTAGTTGGATATGAATGTAATCTGTAGGATGCGGGTTTGGCTAAAACTGTGTAAACTGGTTGTGAGACTTTGGTGAAAGTTGGAGAGTTGTGGTCTGGTAGGACCAGCATTTATATAACCCTGATCAGACCGTCCACTCTATTTGTATTTTTCTTTCATGTTATCTTCTTTCAACATTTCAATCCTGTTTGTTTGTTTGTGGTCAGTAAAGGAGGATTTATCGACCATGTGATACAAGTCCTTATGAATTCTCCTTCACAACTTTCCCTGACCTCATTCCATTGAGCGCAGGTGGGTAGAGAGGCTTTTATTTTGACTTTTCAACTGCAGCCCATGACAAATTAAAAGTCCTGCTCAAAGTCCGTGATTTCCCTCAGCCTGCGTTTCTCCAATCACACAGACATGAAGTCAGTGAGCGGTCGGCTACGATGTGTTCTCGACCGACTGTTTCTCTCCTCACAGCTGATCAGTGGTGCATGCTATGCTGTAGTGACCCAGTGTGTGTGTGTGTGTGTGTTTTGATGTGTTTACGCTCGTGTTTGCTGCGGGTGAAGTTTGCAACCTGTTTGCTTTGCCCTGCATCTCCAATCCAACAAACTCACTTTCCAGGATGTACATTATCCCCCGGAGAAAGCGTACAAGAAAAGATTACTGTTCCACTGCGTCAGCCAACCTGCTTTATCAAATGAGCGAGGGCCCTCCAACCGGATGTTCCCATACTGCCGTTGTCAGAAATGTCAAGATGGGTTGTAGATTCATAGTACAAAATCATATCCAGCAAAGACGATGCTCCCTGGAAGAGAAGAAATAGTGCAGGAGAAAAAAAATGAAGAAAGCGAGGCCTCAAATTTGACAGGAATGTTATGAAGTTCTTTTGGGAGGAAAAAAATAGCCTCTAATCTGATACAGGGTGAGGCTTGAATATGAAACTGTATTGGAATTGGAAGACGAAGATGAGGAAAATAAGTTTTGCTCATAAAACTCACATTTTCTTCCAGTTGGGTTGCCTGCAGATTGATGAAATCAAAGTGCAGCGATTTCAGGACGACTTCCAGAGCTTCACAGGAGCGGTGGTCTAATCGCTCACCTTGATAGAGGCAAGCAATCAAACACAAGATAATTGGGAGCCTGTTTGCTAACAGGCAAAATTGCACAGCTCTAAATGTGCTTTATCCTTTTTCTCTGAAATGAACATTTCAGCCAAAATCAGGAGAAAACAGCTTCCTCTATAGGAGAAGTTTATTTGAGTGTGTGTGTGTGTGTGTGTGTGTGTGTGTGTGTGTGTGTGTGTGTGTGTGTGTGTTTTCTTTTAATAAAGTTGTGTGACTTAATCAGAAACAGAGAAAGAGAAATAATGATGACAGCTCCAGTTAGAAGGAACTGGATGTTGTTTTTCATGATTGCTTCCAAAGATGGGACTGCTCGAGTGTCCATTGATTACCGACTGCCTGCACAACGTCGTAATCAATAAACTGACGTACCTTTATAAACAACTCAACTTCTGAAATTCCTTAACATAGTCAGATTACTTTGAGATACTTCCAAAATCATACAGAGTATGGAATAAACAATTTAACACATATATAATAACAATGTATACATACATTTCCTATTATTAATATTTAGCAGTACCTACTGCAGTGAGTCCAATTCATTTCAGATGGAAATGTTATTGATTAAACCATCAACACTGAAACTGACACTGATCCACCTTTCTGAACACTTTTAAATAGTATTGTATTAATATATTAATTAAGGCTACACAATTAATTAATATATAATCACAATCGCAACATGGCCAAGTGCAATATCCAAATCGCAGGAGCTGTTATGTCTTTGCTAAAGGTAAAATGTGTGACAACGCTCAGCCTACAAATCATGTTCTCCACACGTAAAGGAACGTGTTTGTTAAGCACAAATCCCAACAAAAATCACATAATCATCATATTTATATTTTTTTCAGTGAAAATTAAAATGACCATTGCAACTGAAATTGCAATATCTGACAAAATAAGCAGCAGTACTACTAATATAGTTGCAAATTTTTGTATGGTTTGTTTATTGCTTTTAATTTGAAACTTGCAGCTCCTGTACTTTTTGTGCTTAGCACTGTACTTTATTTTTTACTACCACTAGATATACATACATACCAACATTACACAGCGTAATGGTTACAGCAGAAGTATGACCAATGTAATGCTATCTAATACTTGCATTTTTCATAATGAATCACAAAATAACTGTTTTATGAATGTATTCCTTTTACTATATATATCAAATATCACAAAAAGAGATGCTTCCTGTCCTTTAGGATGAATAAAGTTGTATCTTATCTTCTTTCACTACATAACTATCATCTACCATCTGTAGAAAGATGTGAAACAAACCTTTATTCTATTTAAAGCCTTTTCTTTCTTCTTCTCTTGGACATTATTTTTTTTTATTCTTGTAATCCAACCATTAATCCTATTGTTTCTGTGATTTTTATGTTTTTAGGAATGATTATCAGGGATCACTGTTAAATTTAATCATAATCTGATTATTAGAATGTGTCAGTGCTTCATATCCGATAGTTTTTTTGTTTCATATATTAATATATAAGCAATATTATGACTGATGTGTCTTTACTATTGGATTTAAGTGATTACAACATTTTGTAATCTGATTACTGTTGCTCCCCGGCCCTGATCAGAAGTCACACTCCAAATGAAACTGTGACTGATCAAACAAGACTCAATCTCCCTCTCTCTCCCTCTCTCTCTCCTGGGTTCTTATCTCCCCAGCCAAGAAGGGGGAAATGATAATTACTATCATAATTATTTCCAAAATGATACTTTTCTCCTCTGTTTTAACAATAATCACTTAACTGAGTGATGGCGGAGGGCGTGTGGGGTGGAAGGGAGCGCCATCTGAAATCCCATTTTTCTAATCCGCCCTGCGTCGGGGAGATAATAAGGCAGCAACACCCGCAGTCAGATGTCATCAGTGCGTGACGACAATGACGCCCATCATGGCATCAGACACAACTTTACCCTGCTGCAGTGTGCAGATGTGCCTGCTGCTGTAATGCTACACTGGTGAGAGCCGGCAAAGTTTTAAGACCTTCAGAGTGAGGACATTTTGTCCAGTGTTGAATTTGAATGAGAATTAGGTTTAGTTTAATGTAATAGAATCAAATTTAGTTTAGCACACCTCGCCTCGTGTTATCTTAGATGACGGGTAGTCCAGATAGCGTTAGTCACAGGCTTGATAATCAACCTGTCAGTGTTAGCCCAAGCATAGCCTAGTTGGAGGGATGGGTTTTGAAACCCAGTAGTACACGGGCCCCAGGGCTAAATTTTTAAAGACCATAGTATCGATAATCTCCAAAGTTATTGGTTCTGCTCTCGGTACTGGAGAAATTAAGAAAATAGATTTCCTGTTTATTATTGCGACATAAAATTTCTCTTGCACATTCTATCTCACCAACTCCGTTTCTGGTTAAGACATTTGTCTATGATGCATTTTCACTAGTTCATCCGCTGTTGATCCAGGTGTGTTTTGTATGCTAGCAGCCTGGAGCTCACACACAGAGTTAACTACTTTTATTATTATTATACGAACATGGGTTAATCATCTTAATCATTAATCATGAAAAGTAACCATTGGCCAGCTAATTGTTATCAGTGTATTCTCAAAACAAGGCTGTTGAAGTTTGCTAGTAAAAAATGTTAGTTGAGTAGAAATGAGAAAATAAAGCAAAGCTTTATTCTTTTTTTCTCTTACAAAATGCCAAAAAATACAGATAAGAAAACCGTTGAAGTACCAGATCGTTAAGCAGTATAGATAAAAGTAGTAATACCATTAAAATCTTGATGATATCTACCCCTAGTCGCCGGCAAGTGGTGTGTTTATCCCTGTTGGACGGCATGGAAAGAACCGGTTGTGTGGCCTGGTCTGCAGTCACCTCTGACAGGGTTAAACAATGCACACTAGTAAAAGGGGACCCGCAACATTAGATTAGCATCGCCAGCCACTGTTCACTGTCTACCTGGAGCCAGAGCTTCCAGCGTGGAGGCCAATTTTAAGGTGCAATTGGCTGACGAGTTGCTGGTGAGCACCACACTGGTTGAATTGGAGCAGATCTGAACATTATCTGCGAGGTGACCTTC